AGGAAATAATTGGACCAGCTGTGGTCTGCCCAGCATTTTGCTGATAGCATTGGGAATGAAATGAATATTGTGTCTCTGCATGAATATTGTGTCTCTGCCGTAAGCAAATCACAGTGTCCTAAAGTGAGTCTGTGGGTGCCTTCTGTGCTGGAAAGAGACATCTCTCATTGCACTGCCCTCTTCAGAGCCATGGAAATAACCAGTTTTCATGAAGCTGTAGTTGAATATTATGTAGTCAATAGGATAGGCTGTTAATAGTGTGGAAGGTCATTATTGAATCCATATGTCCTCTGATAATGACATCTTTGTTCTGGAAACACTCTCTTGCGTCATCTGCACAGGTCATTAGAGATGCTGAGCATGACTTCTTGGTGTGTACTGAGTCTTGAAGGGGCTATGCTCAAGCTGTGCAGCAGTTGAGGAAGAGATTTCTTGGCTTTCCTTACAGTACCTCCTGTATCTCAAGCAGCTGACTGCTTCAGGGCAGTGAAAAATCTGTGGTGTTGGGGGTTTTTGTTGTTGTGGTTTGATTTTGGGCTTTTTTTTGGTTGGTTAGGGATTGGGGGGGTTTTGTGGGTTTTTTGGTTGTTTTTTTGGTTGGTTTTGGTATTGGATTTTGGGTTTTTTTTTTTTTTTTTTTGAGTAGAGGAATCAAGTAGAATTTCTGGAAGGAATTTTTAGCAGAGCAGAGGAATCAGTATAGCCTGTATCACAGATTTCAGATCTCCTGGGACCTGAGCTCATTCTCCTTCTGTCTTGAGAAGTGCTATTCTAGTTTTCCCTTTTTCCCTGGTAGTTAGTGTTGAAGTGACAATAGATGGGGAAAGGTGTAAGGAGGCGGAGGAACTGATGACCCTTTGATTAATTTGTGGAGAACAACAAGATGCTGTTTCCTAAATGTGCAATAATTGGCAGAAACTAGGCAAAACTGGGTAAGACAAAGAGCACACATTGTTGCTTGTTAGGTGCATGAGGTGTATCATGGAGGTGCCTTTGAAGCATCATTGCATCTGGTTGACCTCACAGGCTTCATAGTTGAGAGTGTTTAATTTCATGAGCATTTGGCTATAACCTGTAGTCTCTGATTTTGACAGTACATTGTCCCAGAACATTGTCCCAAAGCTACTTTTTGTTAGTAGCATGAGCTTTGGCGTATGTGAGGAATTTCTTCTTGGGATATCTATCCTAATATGCAGTGCTGCTGTGTCTTCCTCCTCATCTGTATCTGAAGAACAACTGAGTGTCACCTCCTGCACAATGTCAGTGATGTTTGTGTAGTGAAGTATTTCTTAGCAAATACCACTGCAGTCTTGGACTCCACTGCCTTCCAGATCATTCTCAAGTATAAGTCTTCCATTTGGTTTTGACCTAGACAGCTTTGCATGTTACAGATCTGTACCTGAGAAATTTCCTCCCACCTTACCAGGTGTCTCCTACCAATCATACATCAGTGAAAGGGAAGGAGGCTGGAGGGAGTGCTGTCTTCAGCAGGGCTGTTTGCACCTGTTTGTGCTCTTGGTGCAGGAAAGCATGGGCATCCTGAGCTTTGGGAAATGTGTGTGAGGGGCTTAGGAGAGGTGGTTTCTGCCCACTGCAACTACTCTATTTATATCTGTCTATCTCATGTATTTCCCTGGCACCCATCACCTTGGCGTGTTTCTCAGATGACCATGGCTTTTTTTATCTTCTCCTCTTTTTAACAGTGTTTTCGCCTTCTTTTTAAATCGGTCTTTAATAAAGTTAAGAATTTTTGCCCAGGGTTTTATAAACATGTGTTATTAAATTTTAAATCTGTTTTGAAAGTGCCTCTATCCTACTCCCTCCTAGTAAAGTGACCTTTTTAAATGGAGGGAAGTGGGTTTAGATGACAGTCATGATAAATGCGGTCATGTTCACTCAATAAAATAAGGCCCAGTGCATTTGAGGATAAATCAGTGAAATGTACAGCCCCACCTGTCTGTCTCCATCATTCATTTCCACTGTCACTTTCACAGTGGCTGATGGATCACAGTTGCTGTAAAATTAGACAGCCTTTAATCTCATTTCATCCTGATTAGCTTCTCCTTACCCTTTCCCTCTAACTCACTGACTGACACGCTAAAAACTCATGCAGGGCTGTGTTTGAGCGTGGCGTACAAACTTCTCTTCAAATACCCTTTCTGTGGGGCAGGCAGGTGTTCCAATGAGTTGAGATAAAAAAATGAGAAGATGGGATTTTCACACTATTAAAGCCAAACAGCAGACCAAGACTCATATAAAATTAATGAAAGCAGCAGCTTGGCCAGACTGTGTGATGGGCCAAATTCTTCCTGTTACACCCTGGCAAGCCCAGTGAGTTTGAGAAGATTGCTACTACCAGATACTGAATTTAACATGCCCATTGCCATGTAATTTTGACTGTTGTCTATGAAAGTTAGGTCCTATCTGGGTGTATATTCACAAGAATCATGGTTTTTAGTGCAAGTTTTCTGTGCTTTCAAGGGATATTTTATAACAAAAAAAAAAAAAAGAAATTGTTCTTTTGATTTTTGTCTATAACTCCCAGTTGTGAGGGGTCAAGGAGAAAGACTGTGAGGTGGTTGATTTCTCAGTTAGAGTCCCTTCTCTCTTAGATGTCCACACTGCTGCTCCGTTCTCCCTGTTTTGTCCAGCTCCCTTCAGTCCCATGGGTAGATTCATGAGACTAAGAACAGTTTTCCCCAAAGCTCTGAGAGAAACAAAGGTCACAGTAAAGGTCTGCAGTGTTTTATTGCAGTCACCTTTCTTTCTGAAGGCCAAATACTGCCCTTCTTTCTAAGGCAAGTCTCCTTTTAGCTTTCCTGTGAGTTATGGACGGTAGTTTGGGTTGTTTGGGCCCAATCCTGTATCAGTGGGAATGTTGCCATCAATTTCAGTAGGAGCCAGGATTAAGCCATTAGTTTTCAAGGTTTAATTATCATAATAATTATGGGAGTCTTTCTGCATACCTTATATGCATGGTAACAGCAGAAAAGCTTAAAGCAGAATTTTTTCCTCTGCTGATTGTGTTTTTGTCAATATGGTGGATAAATAAACAAATTTTTGCAAAAGTGAAAATACAATGGAAAAAAATATGCATGTGTGCTGCCTGCAGACAGTTTTTCCTACAAATGCTGGAGTTCTTCAGACTGACCCATAGAAGAGGTTGAGGGTGCAACCAGTATCTTGGACCTAATTGGGAACCATAATACAGCACTGTATTACTTAAAACTTGAAGCTCTTACAGACTGATCCTGGGGAGTCTCTTCTTGAGAGAAAGGGTCTCAAAAAACATCTAAGAAAGGCAGCAAATTTCTCATGAGAGACAAAATTCTTTATCTACTAAAAGCATCTACAAAATCAAGAAAAGTTCTGTGGTTTTGAGAGAGATTAAAATAGGAAAATGTCTAAGACTAAAGAGTGAGATAATGATGATATGGTGTCTCAAAAGACAGCAGAAACAGACTTCATTCTTTCATCATACTGTAGGAATCTCTAGGTAGTATAAAAATCTTTTGCAGTGGGATTAGCTCCCAGTTAATATAAATTGAATCAGTAACAAATAACCTTAATTAATGAACTTTCACTGTACCTGGCTGCCTAATTTGAGAACTGCTTCACTTACATGACTTGTAAGAGCACAGACTATGAAAAAGATATTCAACCTTCACTAGAAACTAAAAACATACCTTATTTATTCATCATTGCCTAGGCAAAAACTTCAGTAAGAAGCTGAAATGAGCCCACTTGATCTTTAAGAAAATGTGTCCTAAATAGCAAAGCTGTGCGTATTTCTTCTTATTATTATTTGCATATGCTATACTGCACAACTGCATTCTGAGAAAAATAAAAGATAATAAAACAAATGAAATGAGAGATATATCACCCAAAATAATCCAAGTGTGAGATAGGCTGCCTCTCTTTTTTTTTTTTTTTTTTTGGCATTGGCAAAAGAGCACAAAGTAAGAGCTGGCCCTGAGTCATATTGATTTCCCACTGCACTGGTTTCCTAAGTGCTCTGTTGATCCGTGTCAAGCAATAAGTTCCCTGCCTGTACATGCACATCACCTCTCCATTTGTCCTCACCTAGATTTAAGGTGCCCATATGATGAGCTGAACAAGGACATCATTTTTCCTACTGGTGCCACTGGGCCAAAACTACTCTATGTGGTATAGTAACTAATGCTGTATAAGTTTGCATTTTCCATATAATATCATAAGTGGGTATATAATATCATTAAAGTGGGTATGGCACACTGCAGTAATATCTGTGCCATGTAATCCTTGTTTTCGCATTTTACCATTTGCAGTGGAAAAAGTAAATATTAAGAAATAGATGTTTGCATCTGTAGCTGGTTCATAGTAATCATGATACCTCTCCCCCCCTAAAAAAGGGATGTTGTAAACCTAATGCCACAGTTTTGATCTTTGTTAACAAAGGGCTTCCTGATTAGATAATAGAAGATGTGTGATCGTGCTGCTAATGACATTGTACAGGAAATTAAGCGTATACATTTGGAAAAGGCATTAAATCAGCAGGACCTTAATTTAAAAACTTAAAACTGTATGGAAATGCAGCTTGTTCATTGCTGTGTAATAGGAAGCTACTGAACATACTGACTCTTCTTGTGGAAACATTACCAGCAGAACAAAGCATGGCTGAGGTTTTTTTAATGTTTTCTAGCATACTAGGATTCCTAGCATCTGCTTATTTTCAGGGAAATATCATGCAACTTCCCTTTTACAAGTTAATTTTGGATCAGCATGTATGGTACTTGGGCAGGTGAGGGGGCACTGAGGGACCGGAATTCCTGATTTTTTCCTTAATTATTTGCAACATTGAATGCTTAAGTTTACTAGTAAGTGGCTTTGTCTGCTGCTAAAGTCAGTGTTCATACATGCCTGGGGTGACATTCTCATATTATTTCGTACAGATGGTAAAGAGGAAATATTTGATAAAATCAGTGTCCTGAGCTGACAAGGAATTCTTGCTTTGTTTGCAGTTATGCCATACAACAGTGCCCATCACTGCGTCGTGGAAGTGGAAAACTTCTTGTTCGTGCTGGGAGGAGAAGACCAGTGGAACCCTAATGGTATGTGCAGAATACTAAAAGGCAAAGGGAGCATCTGCCTTCCTGTGCCTCCCTGGCTGCCAGGTCAGCTGGTGTAGTGATTAGCAAGGGATTTTGAGGACCTTCAGCCTAATTGTTGAAACTAGAAAAGGCTACTCTTTGGTATTGATGTAATAAATATTTGGTACTTTAGCATTAGCATCTCTGTCATTCATCAGCTCCCACATCCCTTGAGAAATGCCACAGGCAGCAGAACAGACTCTTTCAAGTGCATGCACCAGGCAGCAGCTGTTAAGAATTTTAACCTTCATTTCCAGGCTCCTTCCAGTCATAATATAATAATGCAATTGCAGTAGATGAATGCTTCTTTTCTATTGTCAAACAAGATACTCGCAGCTCAAGTTGTTAATGTGTTAATTATCTAGAATTTGAGATTCTTAAACTGATCCTTTTTTCAGTCTTGTGCAAGAGCTTCTCATATAGATTATCTGCTGCTACCTTCTTTCATTTGATTACTTCATAAATTTACCGCAAAGAGAAATTAAACAATTTAACAGGCTTCTGAGCAAAGCAAAAGGAGAATACCATGCCTTGCAAAATTCACAGAATTGTCAAGACACTGTTAAAAAGCTTGCACATGAAGAAAGAGTTGTAGTTGTAGCAGTCTGTGTAACAGAGATAATTATGACTGAGAAACCATAAAACAGCTTGCAGGTACACATCTTTACTTTAAAACACCAGAGGATCCAGCTGAAATTACATATACTGCATATATTTTATTGTGAATGCCCCATTTCAGCATCTGCACCAAACCAAATTATAGAAAATTGTTACATCTGTTCACTCCCTAAAACCTGAGACAAACAATCCAGGCCACCCTATAAGCATGTTTCTGGTGTAGTTAAGAATATCACTATATGTCTTAGGAGAAGGGCCTCTCAGTTCTGTTGTTAAATATTGCTGAATGTCTTTAATTAGAAGCAGGAGACAGCGCATCACTAATGAAAATTTCTTTTAGGATCGTTGGCCACATCCATCCAGTGAGGACCCCTGTTGTATTTGGTGCTAGGCATATGGACAGGCAGACCTTGTTCCAGACAGTTTATAATTAAATGGCCATGTGACATGAAGGGTAAAAGAAAAGAAGTGTAATTACCCACATTTTGAAGATGTGGAAACTGACTTGCAAGGTGATGGAGAGATGGTAGAAGGGGTGCATATCTTGCATTGGAGATAGGAGTCAAACACAGTTGTTTGTGAGATGAATATACCCAAGGCCTGAGATTGCCTAGATCTGGGTCAACTGGAGTGAAGATGTTGATGAAGACATCTTCCAATTTCCCTGACCTGTGAATGCCAGTGCTGGGATTTTTTCCATAGAGAAGATAGCCATAACAAAGATATGAGCATTGTTATACTGATCTCTTTATCAAATGGATCTTGTCACTGAAAGTGAACCTGAAATCATAAACGACATCCTCTGCTGGGCATATTCTTTCTTGTAACCATTTTGCTCTAAATGTGCAGCTACATGGGGGCAGCTCACACATGCCCACTTGAATTTATGTGAAGGCCCTTGTGTGCTATCCTCAGAGCAGAGGAGGGACTTCAGATGGGCCTACTTGGATTCATCTTGCCAAGGCTTTACAAAGCTTCTGCTTCAAATTAGACTGTTCCAGGTGTTTTTTCCAATGTAAAGAGTTATTTTAGAGATGGTGGCAATGGTAAGGCATTGCTTTAGCCATCAGACCATCTGGTTCTTGAGAAACTGCATGGACCCCAAGGAGTGCTCATGCCTCCTTCATGCTCCACTGACTTGCTGACAACCCACAAAGTATGGGAGACATTTTTTCTCAGTTTTTTACATCCTCCAGTAGCTATGCCTTTCCAGTCACAAGGGGTTCTTGCATGAGTAAACACTGATGAAAGCAGGGTGCACAACCCAGGAATGGATTTAAGACCAACCTTCATAACCTTCAGAGCCGTCACCTTCTAGCATGGCTGAAGAGCAGAGAACAGTAGCTGCCTCCTTTTGTGCCATCATCCTGATTTGCTAATCCTGATTTTTGTTCGCTCGTCCCAAGTTCTGTGTTCTGACAGAATGGATGCATCCTAAGATGTGCAATCTCCTGGCTGATGGGCAAAGCAAAACATAGATAGAGTTCTCTTTCAAACTGAACTCCAGACTTAAACTGCAGTCAAACCAGTTACATCAGGAAGATTAAGTAGGTCACCAAGTCCTTTTCCTACAGTCACAGGCATCATACAATCCCATTTTGTAAATTTTCTTAGCTACGTTTGAAAAGCAGTTGGACTTCCAGCCCCCACTACTTCTCTTGGAAAGCTGTTACACAATCCAATTGCTCTAAATGACTAGGAGCCTTATTCTGATACCCAACAAAATGTATTCTTTGACTGTCTAAATCACATTGTTCTCATGCCAAGGCTGGCCTTTAGTTTAACAGTTTTTCCCCTCCTGGAGATTTGTTCCTCTAAAGTATTACAGGCAGCACTCCTATCCCCTTTCAGCTTTTGTATTTCTAGGTGCAACAGGCCAAGTTCTTTGTCTCCTGCCATAAGGTAAACTTTCTGTTCTTCCTGTTGCCATAGTAGCTCTTCTCTGTGACTGTTCTAGTTTGATTTCATCTCCCTTCCTATGAAGGACCCAGATTTGTATCCTGCACTCCCAGTCTAGGCTTACTAAACCCTTCTTTTCTACCCTGCACTTTACAATCTTCTACCTACATGGTGTTTGTAGTGAGTATATGTATGACACATGTTAGGCAGCCAAACTATAGATCTGTGTGACAACAATGAACAAGCTGCTGTATAACTGCACTGAAGTCCCAGTAACTCTGAAGGATGTAGTTTAATACAACAGCCTGAAAACCTAAAAAAAAATAAATAGAATTTTAAACTTAGGATCAATATTTATATTATTTTGAATTCCTGCTTTTTGGAATACAAAGAGATTAGTAAATGTCTTAGACAATGAAACCTAGAACCTGTTCAAGCTTGCTGTTAATGTTTTGCTGCTTATTGAATCTATAGCTCTCGATGCCTCTTTTTCTAAATTGTCCGTGTAAACTAAAGGAATCCAGATAAGGACCAAAAGCAAAGCCTCACTTGACTAAGCCCAGTGGCAGAAGGACCAGTTGCCCTTACAGTAGGGGAATCTCACCCTGTGTCTTGAGGTGGTGCTGAGATGGTCTTATCTTTGAATGGCACTCAGCATGGTCCTCGTTAGGCACCATGCTGGTTTTGAAGGGAAATGCTGCATTATTCATCAGTCTTCTGCCTTACCCTCCTCATATAGAACATGCTTACAACATGGCTGGGAAATCAGTTTACTTCCAAAGAGGTCAGTGTGGTTTCTTTCTCTGTTTTCTTGTAGAACATGAACTTAAATTATTACTACTATAAATTCTAGCTGTATTGTTACTCTTCTCTACTGTCTTGATGGTGTATTTACACATGCTGAAGTAAGTGTGGAATGAAGCAGGCAAAGCGAGCCAATCCTGCAGAGGCTTGTCTGATGCAAAAATATTCACCTTGTAGAATGCCCAGTGACCATTTATAGAACTGTGACATATGCAGTTAGGTTGTTCTGCTGGCCTGTGAAGCCTCTAATTCAATTTTTTAGTCACACATACATAAACAAAGGTTTCTGTTTTCAAAATGCTCATCTATTGAAGTCTCAGGTGTTACAGGAAATTGCCATGCACTCTCTTGCTTCAGTTTTCTTGCTTTGGTGTCAATCTGCATGTAAAATAAGGTGAAATCTTAATATCGTGAAGACATGAACACAGTTCTTGGGCTTGACAGCAGGGAGAAGCTAGTTAGCTGGTGTATGTTGCTCATGCTTCATATTTTAGCTAACAGAGTTGGAATAAAACTCTTAAGAGTGTATTCCCCCTTCGATGCACATCTGTAATTCCTTCTAACTTACATTGAAAGTACATGGTAGAATAAACTATCTAGTGCAAACACTGCATACCCCATGCTGATGGCTTATGCAGCTCCTGGTTATTTGCACAATGGGTTTTTGCTGTGTTCCACACAGAGAGGATATAAGGAGAAAGAATAGAACGTGTTCTCTCTTTAATTTTTTTACCTGACAAAATTCTAGTCATAAAAATATTGTGGGAATGCCCTCTTTGGGCAGTAATTTTATTTAGTGCTGTGATTTATTGTGGCTGTGAAAATACCACAGCTTGTGTAAGTAAATTTAAATACACATTTTCAAGATCTTATTACAAAGACCAAGAATAATCGCTGTCTGCTTTTACTGCTAGTGACTGCTAATTCAAGCCTTGCAGTGCCCCATTTGTTGAATTATTACTGTACACACAGTGTAATCATACATTGTTGTAAAAGGGGGAACCCTTCATAAAAGGTGTCAACTTGTGAAGTATATGTAATATATATTACAATCATGATGTTAAATACATGAAACAAACAGCTGAGTGTCAAAATAATCTATCTTTACAGGGAAACACAGTACAAACTTTGTTAGCCGATACGATCCCAGGTTTAACAGCTGGATACAACTTCCACCCATGCAAGAGAGGTAAAAACCTGCTATTTTTTCAATTTCTGTTTTCTCATCCTAGGGGCAGCTGAGGTTTGGCTTAGTTCTGGGAATAAGGAGGCCTGTAGAAGCATTGAAAGCGCAGACAAAACTGCAGCCTGCAGTTGTGTCCCATTTGCTTCTAATTTTTAAAACTTTCCAAATTTGGAACTCCAGTTGCCAAGTCCTGCAGTGCTAACTCATGCAAAAGCCATGGACTTTATGCAATTACTGGTTGCCTGAGTACGGTCTGAAGGATTTTTCTGAAGTCTCCATAGTGTCCTGTCATGTTCCCTGACTGAAGTGTCATGAAGAGTTTGGCAGTAAACAAGCAGTAATTATAGTCAGATATCTTAGAGGGAACTGAAACCTTCACATGTTGACTCCATCCTGTTTCACCATACCAACTATGAAAAGCTCTCCTGAACACGTCTCCACTTGTCAGAGGACTCTCAATCCTAGGTGGTCTTTGAGTGAAGTTGCTGTCAGTAAATGCATATTAGAGTAGCTTCTGTTTTAGTCTAGCTGTGTACCAAAAAGCAAAGGTGGATGTGGACTTGAGCAATGACTTGTAAAGGTGATGCAAACTGAACTGTGGATCCCAAATGCCACCCTGACAGGAAAAAAATCCATAAACCTGAACAGAATTGTTCATGTTTTGTAAGAAGAATCTCAAAGGCAGAAGATCCAAAGTTACAATGTTATTTGAAGAAAATATTCAGTGTTCCTCCTTCAGTTAAAACGCCCATCTTCTCATGGATCCCATGTACAAAAGATCTCACAGTGTCTCCCACAAATGCTTTCTTTATTCCACGCCACTATTACAGTACTTTTTTTTGGTTGACTGTCTACACTATTCAGATGTCTGTTAGTCAGAAATATATTGAATTAAATGCAGTGTTGTGATTCAAGGTGTATCTTATGAGATGCTTGGAAATATGACTGTTTTTTCAAATTTCCAGTAAAATGTCAGTCTGCAGAATTTTTGAAGGACCTTTGTTCAAGATTCAGTTTGACTGACCTAAGTCCCTGCTTTGGCAGCACCTAGCCTTCTCCCTCATTCCCACCAGCACTGTGGGATAACCTTCACAGCTGTGATTGTTTACTTTAAAACAGAGGGACACCTTCCCCTCTGGCTCAGCTTCCTAGAGTGAGTCACCACCAGTTTAGGTGTTGGCATGGGGGAGGAAGGAGATGAGCATCAGAGTGGGCATCACCATGCAAGTCATCCTTGCTGAGCTGGGAGACTGACTAGGAGACCAGCTGGTGTTTGTATGGAGCCTGGAGCTCTTCTGTGGAGCTGAGTTCTAATCAGGCCCTCTGGGTATCTCCAAGCCAGATTCCTGAGGAGCATTGGCAGCTGGCTGAGCAGTTGGGTTTATTTGGCTGGCAAACTTCAGAAAGCAGAAGTAGGGAGCTGAGGGTCAGAGAAAGGAGGCGGTAGGAATTTTCCCACCTCCACATTGGCCAGTTGTGTTTCCCTGGAAAACCATGCAGCAGGTGACTGGCCTTGTGCTCTGGTGCTGCCTTTAGCCAAGAGGCCAAAACTCAGCTGTGCCCCGCGCTCCTGCCTGTAATAAACTGTAATGTATGAACACCACAGAGGGAACTCCCTGCAGAGGGACTGGAATACAATGGTCCACTCATACATAGTTCCTTCTGCAAGGGGCTTTGCTATGACAACCTTAATTGTCACCTCTTTTGTTCAGGATACATAGCTCATGGGCTTGTTTTTCTTTAAAGGCTCCTAAGCACTAGGGCTATTGTTGGAAAAAAGTGATTTTACACTCACTTTCTAAAATGTTTTGATGGTTTGTTTGCTCAGTCCTAATGACTTCCTCAGAGTTATTGCAGCTTTCTATGGACTGGCCCAGTTTGTAGAAGATCATGCAAATAAGAGAGAGCTTTTATGCAGTTTTCTTTCCTAGTTCCTTTAGTGAGATAAAGTTCCCATTAAAGTCAACAGGCTAATTTCCCCCTGCAAGGAGTACAGGGTCGTGCCCTGCGTCTGCTGGCATAATGCAGGCACCATTGACAAGACAGACTGTTAGATGGGTTTTTCTGAGTCATTATGGTCCATCAAGTCAAAACCTATTTAGGAATTTTAGTCTGAGAATAATTGGCTGCATAGACTATAATAGCTCCTTTGAAATGACTGCCAGGTAAATGTGGGACTCGTTCACAGGCAGTATATTCTCAAGTCAAAAATCTGTATTAAATATTTGATAAGTAAACTTTTATCTCACATGCCAAAATCCATATCTGATTGATTTTGCTGTGTGAGCTATAAAGAAAAGTCTAATCCCATCATAGATTCAATGTTGCCAGTGTATTCTCTTTAAAGCTAAGTTTGGTTCCTTTTCCCTTGAAGAACATCCCAAATATAAATGCTTTTGAAAAATGCATACTATTTTCAGGATTTTGTTGTTTAGAGAACCAGCAAGTGACTCATAAGCTTTGGAAATACACATCTGCGTGATGATGCCATAACAACAGGAAGGTTTTTGGAGAACAGTTCAGTTAGACTATGATGGCTACTGAAGGAGCAGTCTTTGTAGCAGTTGTATCTGAGCTTGAGGTGCGAGCCTCAGCTGGACACCTCAGGCAGAACTGTTGCACCTTGCCAGCTCAACACAGAGCTTTTCAAGGTGTGTGGAGCAAAACAGCATTTGAAACATCTTGCTTTTTCTTATATTCTTAGTATAAAATTTTTGTTTGAAGACCAGCTAAAAGCATGGCATTGTACCAAGTTCTGAAGAAGCACAAGTGGAAGTGGGAAGTGAGCAGGTCAGTGTACTCTTTGAGGCTGAGAAAAGGCACAGAAAAAGAAATACAAAAAATTCCCATTTTGTTTTTGTCTTTGACTTTAATAATAGTAATGTCAACCCCTGTTAAGATTATTTATGTTTTAAAAAGCAAAGCATGCACTCTATAAATTACTCTGAAATCAGGTATAGATATTGTGACAATCAGTAGCAGCACTGGTAAATTTAAATCTCAGACTGGTAGATCTGTTTGATGTTTCAGAGCATAAATTCATCATGTATGAAAATCATGAGGAAAATCTTCCCTTTTATATGTGTATACTTGGAAGAAGTTGGTTGGGTTGATGGTTGGGTGAAGGGGTGTGAAGAAAAAGCATTTAGGAGACTAGTGAACATCAAGTACTTTCAAGTCCTGAGGAAAATCACAAAATAATTGTCTTATTGTCCATATTCAGATCCTGAGGTACATTCTAGTTAGCTGATTAGAATGGATAGTGTCTTGCATTGTCATGCAAAGATTGCTGTATTACAGTTTAATCAGAATCATATTTTACAGCAGTTTAAAAGTCATCACTTGACAGCATGCCTTTGCATGCTGTAACAGCACGCCCTTACACACTGTATCATTGTCAACTAAAAAAACCCAAAAAGCTTAAAATATTTGTGACAGAAGCTACTGAGTGAATGTTCACATCCAAGCAGAAGAGTGAAGTATGCTGATGCTTTCATTTTTGCTCCTTATAGTGACACTGTGTGGATGAAACCAGGAGTACATGCACAGAATACTGTCAGTGGAACCCTAGTTAAGAGAATAATGCATGCAAGTTGTGTCTACCTCTGTTTATTAAACCTGACCAAAAAAAAAAAGGCAAAACATGCTGAGAATAGTTTGTTAATGGGTTCAGCAGAGAAGGTCAGAGGAGTGGATGTGGGAGCGCTGACAACAGGCACCCTCTGGTTTTGTGCTTTGTGGTTGCTGGACACAGGAGGGTTGAAAAATGGGTACCTGACTATGCAGGCACTCTCATATCTTATAGGAGGTGACCTCTGCAGCTTTTCCTGCTTTTGGGGCAACTGTGGGCTGTGTTGCCTCTGGCCCATCACATATTCTCAGAAAGCTTATACACACTTGATTGCCTGTAACACCTATAGCCTCTGTCAAATTAGAGTGAAATCAGTCAGCAAGGGTTTTTTTAAGAGACAACAGTAGTCAGACATGGGTATATGTACAGTGTAATCAAATTAGCTTTGTTTCCATAGAATATCAGGCTAAAAACATAGATGCGCAATTTGCTGCCCAACCATGCAGAGCAGAATATGCCATCAGCTTCTATCTGCCCACTGACAGATAAATTAAATAGTCTTTTTTAATTCATCAGTTGATCTGGAGACACTTGCCAGTATTCCTGTCCTGCTATTTCCACCGAGTTTTTTTTCAGAAGTCTTCCCTATGGTGGAGCTCCCAGCCCCACTCAGAAAGGGGTTCTGTCCCACACCATCCAAGTTGCCCATGTGCAGGCAGGGTGAAAGCAAAGAAGCGAACAGGAGATGTCCAGTGACCCTGGCTGGTGAGAAGCCCTGTCAGGTGTGCACCAAATCCAAAAAGTATGGTCAGAAACTGGCAGTGATGCATCAAATCTGTTCCCTGGATGCCCAGCCAGCCCTGCTGTTTCCATGGCTGTATCCCTTGGTGTCTGCCTGACTTCTCTTCCAACTTATAAACCACCAGCCAGTCTCAGACTTTTAACTAAGAGGAAAATTTCTCCAAAAGGTTAAAGGATGCTACAAATTTTGTGAAAGTAGTTAGCTGTGCAAAAGAGCAAGATCTTATTCCTGCATTCACTGAAGAAAATGCTCCTGAACATGCCCGGCTAGATGCCAGGTTAGGGACAGGGCACACCAGACTTTGCCAGCTCACCTGGTCACAGGATGGCTCTCAGGAAGCCCGGGAAGGAGTTGGACATGGAAGCTGTTCACTGATGATGCTGTGTGTGTGCCACTGCTCATCCAAATGCTTTGCAGAGGTCTGCAGGTTCAAGTTCTTGATGGTGCAGCTGACCATCAAGGCCCCAAGATTTAGTGCGTGATTCAGGAGTGAAATCTGCAGCTGCTCTCAGATTCAAATTAAGGCATCTGGGCAGGAACCAGAGTGCATTGAATCAGCCACAGAGCAAGTTTTGGCAAGCTACAGCCACACTCCAGAGTGCCTGCTTTGCAGGAGCTGTCAGAGCTACACTTTGCTGTGTCTGGCCTGCCTGCTCATTTCTGGGCTCCCATGTCATTCTGGTTTCACCCAGGAGAAAACTTTATGTTGGGGACTGACAACTCTTCTCCTTCAATATTTTGTTCAGCTCTTCATCCTAGCCCAGCTGTGCTTTTCTGCAATTTTCTTTCTCATGTTATTGCAGCTTGAAATGAAAGGTCTCTACTCTAGCAAACCTTCCTGTTGCTGAATGATCCAGGGAGCTTTTCCCGGAGTGGATTACACCAACCAAGGTCTCTCAAAATCATCTAATGCTCAATTTTTACTTCAGCAACAAACACTCACCATTTATTTTGGAGGCACGAGGAAGACAAACTAATATAAGCCAGACAGTCCTCGCCAGAAAACTTAATTGTTTTCCTACACACCTGAGTTGCATGTAAAAGCAGACAGGTGGCTAAAACTTTCATCGGGGTTAGTTGGATGGAGACAGACCTCATTTGAGTTAAAGGGTGGAAATGTAGTGTTGTGGCTAGCATGAGGAAAATTGTTCTATTTGCAGTACTGCAGAAGGAAGAAAAAAATGATAATTGAAGAAAAATTTTGATGATGTGGTTCTCTTAGTAAATTGGGAACAATGACCCTTGAAGGACCATAAAGAAAGTGAATGTCAAGATAATTTATTATTGTTACATTATCTACCTCATTTTTCACTTTGTCTTACTGAGTTGTTGTATCCCTTACAAGGTAATGCCCCATACATTAATGAGCACCTTTTCATCTTCCACGGGTGTGAAAAAGAAACAAACAGCTTTGAGAAGGGGTATTTTCTGGCAGCTTTATTGTACCTAATTGTTTTGACACAAAAAATGAAGTATTTTTTGATGTGGAGTAGTGTGTATTTGATTAGCAAAGCAGCCACAGTCTCTAGGATAGCTGTAAGCACGTGAAGCTTCCTGGAAGCTACTTCTCCCTGATGTAGCATTTGAAGGAGCAGCTCTCTTAGTTCAGGGAGTCAGCTGGAGAGGGGAAAGAAATGTTTGACATGGCTAATTGGTTTGTTGTTGGCTTGTTTGTTTTGCTCTGCCCTGTCCTCCAGGAGAGCCAGTTTCTACGCCTGCCGCCTCGACAAGAACTTGTATGTCATCGGTGGAAGAAACGAAACTGGCTACTTGTCCAGCGTGGAGTGCTACAACCTGGAGACAAACGAGTGGCGCTACGTGTCCTCGCTACCCCAGCCCCTGGCAGCCCACGCAGGAGCCGTCCACAATGGCAAGATATATATTTCAGGCCAGTGTCTTGAGTAATTCCTGCTGTATGACAAGAAAACCAGCCCAAAACCACCATAAAAATATAAACAAATGGCAGAACCCCAAAACCAGAGAGCTAAATTCCTGCTGCAGCACAATATCTTTATTTATATTAATGAGCTGATGTGTATTTACTGTGCAGGAGGTGTTCACAATGGAGAATACGTCCCCTGGCTGTACTGCTATGACCCTGTGATGGACGTCTGGGCCCGAAAACAGGACATGAACACAAAACGAGCAATCCACACTCTGGCTGTAATGAATGATCGACTGTATGCAATTGGAGGGAACCATTTGAAAGGTCACATTTTTAATAGCAAAAAAGTATCTCAGTGTCCCACATCTCTGATAAAGAATATTTTTGTTAGACAGTGACTGTTAAATACATTGAAAGCCAAGCAACACAATTTAACAGGACACTTGAGCCAGCAATTTTAAAAACATTTTATGCAAATTATTTTAAAATTATAACAGTACATTAAATATATGAGTAATGAATGCTTTAGATAATAAAAATGGGAGCTTCCATTACTCAAAGGCATGGACAATTTGTCATTACCAAGAATTCAGTGAAACAAACAGATTATTCTTTGACCCGAAAGTACCAGCAATATTTTCCTCTGTAAATCATTTTCCAAAATGTGCAGTTAAAGAGAGCTTTATTCAGAGCAACACACAAAACCCAAGCTCCTGATTTAATGAAGAGAAAAAAAAAGCAAACTTCCAGCCATTAAATAATAGGACTAGGCTCTTTAAATCCCTTTTTAGTATTAAATGCAGCTTGTTTATTATAATTCTTTTTAGAGGTCTCTTGTTTTCATCTTTTGAAAAGGTCTCCTATTAAAATAACTATTGCTTAAGCATTTGGTAATTTTATCTTAATACCTGTATTTCATTGATGTTAAAGATGCTTCTTAATACAGCCACTTAGACAAAAAGCACACCTCCGGCTCCGTTCTCCTGTGATAGTACTTGATAATTTATATTCACTTTTTAAATTCTTTCTCCTTTAATGTTGAAAACCAAAAAAATAAAATACTCCCAACAACAAAAGATAAAATCATAATATAGAAGAAAAAGTCAAAAATTGTGTTAACTGCAAGTAATACCAGGTCATGTCTGACTCCAGTCCCTGGGTCCCCATGACACTGTAAGGCCACATGCTGCTTTTGGAGAGCTGAGTGTCTGTGGAGCATGCCAGGGACAAAGTCCCAGATGTAAATTTTCCCTGATAAATAGTACTGGTGCATAAATGCCTGCAGGCAGGCTCAGTGCTGCTGTGCCTCCCCTCCCCACCCCAGCTGGGATGGGTGGTTATGGACTGGACCTTATAAGGTGAAGAGGGCAAAAGCTGCTTGCACATGAACAACTGCCAGGTTTCAGTGCTTCCCAGTGTTGGCTTTTCCTCCTACAAAAGTAAAACCTATCACAGCTCTTCTCAAGCTAAAGCACATGCTTTGGTTTGCACAGGCTTGAATTGCTTCTATTCTGCCTCCTTCTTTTTTTTTTTTTCCACGTAGTTTCACCTACTTCTAATAAGCCTTGCAGTTTTGCCTCTGCAACTGCTGTCCTGAGTGCCTTTGTTATGCTTGAACTGCTCACTGCTGTGAGGGGTATTTAACATCCAGGCTTCTGGAAAGATGTGGCTTTCTGGTAAAAGAACGTTTTGGAAAAAAATGGTTTCTCCTGTACAGTGAAACAAAAGAAAGAGCTGCAAGTACAGGGAGGGGACTGAAATGTGGATGAAATGTTACAAATTCTCCACCGGCTGGGAATAGCAGGGCTCCATGGCAAAGCCCTTCTTTGTGAAGCTGAACTGTGTAGTAGTGTTAGCTGTGCATTTACCACATCACAGCAGTCATATGCATACTGCAGTTTGCTACAGAGCTTTTGACAGCTTCTGGGTGCACAGCAGTGGCCTTTTTATGGTGCCTTGAAAACCTTGAAGCAGCAAGTAATTATTTCATATTATTATGAATTATATCCTATTATTTCATACTCATTCAAGACATAAATAATATTCAAGCAAACAGCTCCCTTGTGAAGTGCCAGTATCACCAAATACCCTTTTTTACAGAAAATCTTACTTCTCTTTGCTGTCATACCTTGAAGAGAAGACAGATGGGTTAAGAAAAGGACTTCAGCATATTAAGAAAGCCATACTTTTACTGCAGTGCTCTTATAAAGAAGGTAGTTTGAAATAGGGAATTGCCTAAAATTAGAGCAGGAACCAGGATTCTTGTGTTCAGTGTCTGTGTTTGGCTCACTTAATTCATACTAACTGATACAGCTTGAGAATCTTGAGCTGAGATCCCTTTGCCCTTTGGTGATCAAACAGCAGCAGTTGCTTGGAGCATTTTTTTGGCTTACCAGGGAAAGATGGGACCGCCATTTTTGTGGTTACATTTTTTTGTTGCCTTAAAGACTTTAACCCAGCTGTGTGCTTTAGAGTATACCTTAAGTCAGCTGGAAAATTGAAACTGGTCCTGCACATCATGTCCATCATGCTAAGCACTTTGTCCCTCTAGAACCAAGTGGCTTCAGCTGTCTAAGCTCTCCCTGGACTTGTTAGACATTGATTTCTGAGCAAAATTCAATCTGTTCAATTTTGAATAGATTGGATCTGCTGAATTTTGAGAAAGACTGCCAGGACAATCTTTTCCTACATGATCAAACTTGTATTAGCACTGATAGACAAGGAGGAATTTTGTTTGAATCTGCTTGTGTCACTGATATATTATTACTGAGTGTTTCCTGATGTGGTCAGATTTTATATGGACTCATGATTTCTAGAAGACTGTAGAACTAATGGTAAAAGCCTGCAACAGATTTATTTGAGCTGAAATAGCAAAGCATTAATGTTACAGAAGTTGGCTTAAATGCATATGAAAATATTTTCTTTAAAATGTTGTTATAATCATAATAGCATAATTGTAACTGTAATTTAATAAGTTTAACAGTAAAATAAGCAGTAAAACAGTATGTCATAACACATGTTCTCTTTCCTGAATGCCCTCATCCAGGTTTCTCCCATCTCGACGTAATGCTTGTGGAATGTTACGATCCAAAAGGTGACCAGTGGAACATCCTGCAGACTCCTATTCTGGAGGGTCGCAGTGGCCCTGGCTGTGCAGTCCTTGATGACAGTATTTACCTTGTAGGAGGCTACAGCTGGAGTATGGTGTGTACCTGCTTTCTACAATCACCTTCCTGTTCCTTCTGAGTTCTTGTGGCCAGTCCATATAGTATGCAGATGGGATTGAGGGAAGAGGGGAATTAGTTTCAGGGGCAGGCTTGGATTGGTTTTCAGCTTATGGAGAACATGGAGTGTTTTTTCACCTCTGTGCTTCTCTATTTAGATAAGTTATTATTACACTCTATTCACTGATATGGAGTAATTTAAAAATCAGAAGGAATTTTGAAAAAGTGATTGATGGGACTGTATGCTTACAGCTCTGCATATGAGGTGCTTGTAAAGGAGACTGATTTTCAGAGGTTGGGTGCTGAAAAAACCAAAACATCTTGAAGAGCTTCTAAGTTTGAGTGACCCCGAGTCACTTCAAACAGCATTAGAGCTGATGTGTGACTTGGATTTTACCAAAGCCACATTTAATATGACATTTTGTTCTACTACCAGGGAGCCTACAAATCTTCTACCATTTGCTACAGTCCTGAGAAGGGGACTTGGACAGAGCTGGAAGGTGACGTTGCGGAGCCCCTGGCAGGACCTGCGTGTTCGACTGTGGTATTGCCGGCCTGCGTCCCGTACAACAAGTGATGGGCCAGGAGCACTGACACGAACACTGAGTGCATTTGGGAAAATAATGACGGGTGACGTAAATATTTTATTAGAACAGAGTTCCTGGTAAAACAAAGCTACCATAATTGACCCCTCATTCCATGTTTATGCTTTAGGAGCAAACTAAAAGAAAAGAAAAACCAAGCGTTGTCCCATCTCAGATAGGTGCCGGTGTCTTAAGAAGCGAGAAGCTAAAACACACCGAACATTACATGCTGACAGACTGCCATTTCAGACTGATTTAAACTTTTCCTGCTGCAGAGACACTCCTCACATCAAATTTAACTTAAAAAAAAAATGATGGCTAACTTTTCAAATAGAGCCTGAAGAGACAAGATCAGTATTGTGCATTGTATCTACCTGCATGTGATCTGTGTTGAAGTCATGAGGATGTTGTTTTCATGAATGTTTCAGAATTCAGATAGTGAAAAGCTCACACTGCATTGCAGAATTGTCTCCTCCTCTGTAATCCTAACCTACAACTACTTCATATGCTCTGCAAGCAACACAGCATCAGAAGATTATAAAAGGTAAAGAAATATCATTCAGTTTTTGCGCAGCTTGGCAACTAATACACTCTGCCTTCAAAGTCCCCATGTGCAAGTGCAGCAGAAAGCAGACTACAATGAAAGCTATGCTTTACAGAGCACTTCTTGCAATAGCAGCTTAGGGATTAGGATCAAATTCTGCTAATCACGCTTGTGTAAAGTCAGAACCATTTCACTGAAATCACATGGAATGACTGGTTCTACATTAGTATAACAGAATTTGGATCCTACAGCTTAAAATCTGGCTTTGAAAAGTAAGTTATTTCTATGACCACTTAACGAAGCACCAGAAACCTTACTTCCTTTTCACTAACCTGTTAGATATCAGCATCTGTGTAAGTTCTTTCCAAAGACAAGAAGACTGCATTTAATAATAAATTGATTGCTTTGGACTCTAAAATGCTTAGGCATATTTTTGGAGAGACACTGGTAAGTAGTTAAAGTAGTCCTGTGTGGTTGATCTTAATATGCACTCTGTGAGAGTTTTACTATTGATCCAAAGTAATATAAGGCTAGACTTTCCACTGCCTTACAGCCTGTGTAATTATTTACACATTGCAAAGCGAGTTCAGAATGCTCCCACATGGGACCTGTAGCATTTGGGATGTGCTTCATGAAGTCATAGCTGCTTGCACAAATCAGATTATCTATGTGTTAAGCTTATGTATTTCTGTCCTGGCTTTGCAAAAGCAGTGACAAAATCTGAGCCTGATTCTTCACCACCTTGCAGCTAACAGACATAATCATCTGCACCTCATTAAAGTATGTGCATAATTCTTCCACTGTGGTTTACTAGTGCTGCATCCATCACTCTCAGGACCATCCTCTTTACTGGTGTAAACTGACATTGCTCCATCGAAGCCAATGGATGTACTTTATGTCAGATAAATATCTGGCCTTTAATTTGCCTAGTTGTAGCTAGCTGCACCAGATAAAGGCAAAGGACACCGCGATCCTGCATTTTCAGCCCTGCACATATCTTTCACAAGAGGACTTAATGCTAGTGCATTAAACAAGGAGCAGGCAGCTACTGGAGGTTGGTTTCAGCTGCAGAGGCAATAGATGGGAAAAAGACTTCATTATTTGCTTTGCAAAATAGAAAAAGGGTGAATGTACACAGAAATTACACTATATATTGATGCTTGAGAGCAATATAAATAACAGAGAGCAAATATCATGGGACTGTTTCTCTCTGGCGTCAGTCCAATTTTATTGCAACTCCCTTGCTTGCAGCAGAATTACACAACTTGTAAAATTGGGGTAATGCAGTAAAGACTGGTACCACACAAATGCAATAATCCAATTGATGAGGTAGCTGCATGCCTGGAAAAAAATGTTTAAACAAAATAATTATCTGAAGATGCTAATATTTGAATGTGCCCTTGGGGAGTTCTCCAGTGAGCATCACTAAGGAACTCATAAAGGTGGAGTGTATATCCTGAAATCTCAATCCATTTCTCCTACATAGTGCAATCTTAGTTGGTTTTGTATTTATTTATATTGTTCAGATCCAAGGGATCCCTTGTAAAATATATTTGGTGCAATCATGACTTTTTTCCTTTCCTGTTGAAAGTATATAAATATAAATATATATATAAAAACGAAACAGTTAAGATACTAAATGAAGAAACCTTGTATGACATTTAAAAGGTCTGCCACTGAACATTGTCTGTCACCTGTCTCTACTAAAATGTACCATTTTTAAAGGATACTTCTTGTCCTTTTAAATGGTTCCTTTTTTTTACCAAGATAATTTAAAGATTTATGAGGACTGTATCTAAATCTTTCTATCTATCAGGAAGGCATGACCAAGGAAACAATGCTAACTAAATAAGTCACACAAAGAATGTAAATTTTGTACAGTACTAGACTGTGTAAATGAAGCTTGCTTGTAGGGGGGAAACTTTAAATAAAACTTTATGTACTAATTCAACTGTCTGCCATATTCCTACTTATAAAGTGTATGTATAAATAATATCTACATTAAATTCTTTGGAACTTTTTTTATCATGTAGATGTGTGAACTTCCTTTATTTTCTGGTGTTACATAATGGCCTCATTGTTTTACAAGTGTCATTACTCAGTGCTTGTCAGTGCAGTGACCGCAGTAAAAGGCGGGTCTGTAGTGAGTCGCCCTTCAAGCAGCACCTTTTTCCAGCAGGGAAAGCTCCACCCCTGTGCCTGCTGTCACTGGAGATGCCACTGCATGCCTGTGAAATGGTTCCTCTGTTCCTCTGTCCCACAGTAAGTGAAAAGGACCCTGCTTTGTTAAGCCCAGTCTTGCTTTGGAGAATTTAGTGCTTGTGGCAACTTCATACCTCTTCAAAATGTTGCTCCTATGACAACTGGCCCTTCTGACTGTGGGTATTTCAGTTCTTGGAGGGAAAGTGTTGGCTTGGGTGTGCTGTAAAGGACAAGAGGTATTGTGAGGCTAAGACAAGGTAAAAGCAGGAGGTTCTACCAGGAAGCAGAAGCATCATCAATGCCAGTTACTATTCATGCAGTGTTTATTTGTGCCTACAAACCTTGATCAGGGACCAGAATCTGCCTATGCAAACCAGAAGGGTACACTGAGCAAAGTGGCCCCTGTATTTAATGCAGGTGTGGGCCTGTACTGGATAGCACTGAGATAGCACAATGAATTGAATTGTTTTGTTAATGAGTTTATTGCAGCAGAGGAAGGAAGGGAGATTTATGCCTTTTTTAAAGTAATTTGGGAGAAGGATGAAGAGGAAAAACTGGCAGAGATATGATTTAGAAAGTAAGAGAACAAAGTAAACAAAAGGAAAAATCGAAAACGAGACTGTGAAAGGAGAAGGTGGGATGTTTTTGAGAATCAAGGGCACAGAAAAAAATCAGGATTAATGAGGAAAGCAAAAATGGTTTTTGAGAAGCACATATCAGAACAAGGCTGGAAAAAAAATAGAGGAAAGGCAATACAAAGGGAAGAAGAGAAACATAAGAAAATTCAATAGAAGACAATATGAGATAAACATGAAACTAACTAAAAAAGCCCTTGGGTGATGGTATTCAGCTAATAATTTTCAGTGGTCCTGCTGTTAAACAGAAGGATAAATCAGCAGAGTACTTAGGTGTTGCAGTGTTCAAGTTTTAATGCACAGACTTCAGCACAACAAAACCTATCAAAGAGCTGCCCAGTGACACCTCTCTGCAGGGCCTGGGCTGTGGCAAACACCCAACCACAGCCAGCACCTGTGGCAAGGGAAGAGAGCTGATGCTGGTGGTGGGAAGCACAAGAAGAGCAGATGAGCCACAATTCCTGGTCCCAACTGCATTGGGAACCCTTTCCATTTCTGATTCTCTGATGAGAGTCCTATTTGGGAGCTGGACACATGGATTGTTCCCTATTTCTCTTTCTCTGCTGCCCTTCCTGCCAAACCTTAATCTTCTCCATTTCATCCTCAGCATGACAAACTTGCCGAGGTGCTTTTGCAGAGTGGGACCTGGAAAACAACAGATTGGTGACTGAGGGTGTTTTCCTGATCTTGAGCTATGGTCCCATCCACTGGGTGACAAGTGTGAGAAGTATGATTTGCTGGTGACTTCCAGCCTGTACCCATGCCCTTAAGAATGCCCAAAGAGGGCATTTGAAAAATATGCTTTTCAATAATTACAGTGCTGTCTTTGAAGGTACTCTGCACCCCCCTCCCAAAAGCTGGCATTGCTTTCTCTCATGCATTATCCTCTTTCTGCTTTTAATACAATGATTTCCTCTGCTAGCTACATCTGTGAGCCAATTTGTGAGAAAAAAATCCATGCCAAACCTCATTATAAATACTGGTTTCTATTGTATTATAATCACTCATCAATAAAGTACTCTATATCCCTTGCTTTTAAGAGAGAGGCCGTATTTCAATTTAAATAGAGCTTTCTGGTACAGACAAAGGAGAAAGAAATCCCAAGCCGTGCTAAAAGGCCCAAGGTAAGTGCCAATGCACACACTCCAGGGCAGTTTTAAGATGCACATTTCATTTCTGTTATTAGTGCAGCAGTGGAGAGGAGTCAGTGTTTCAGCCTCTCGGGTCCAGTCCAAGGAAGCAGTGACAGCAGCACTGGAGGTCAGGGGGGTTTGCAGGAAGGGAAAGCACACTAATGAATTCTGGAGGGCTTGTAATGCCATAAAAGATTCAGTTAATCTGCAGCATAGATGTTGATCAGCAAAACTGAACCTAAGTCTCTGGACCTTGTCAGATGTATTCTGTGCATGTCAGTGTTCCACACCAATTACAGATTTTAGAAGATGCTCTCATGCAAAACTATGCACCCTAATATATAAGCCAGCTCAGATGTAACTAAAATTAAAATCTGACTGTGGCAAATCTCTGTGATCCTGATATATGAAAATCCAAATAAATGATTTGTTCCCAGAAATGAAAAATAACTTCAGCAGGAAATTTCAAAATTACTTATGCAGGATTAATCCAGTTCAATGAATGCATCTTGCGTTGATTAATAAAGCAATCCTGAATTGCAAACTAAAACGAGAGGAGACTTCTGGTGCTGATATATTTGTGTATTTCTGAAGCTGGAGAGAAATGTGCACTTGTGAGAGATGTGGTCAACCGGTGTAAACAGAGATTGAATACAAATAGTGATTTTCTAATTGTCTGTCTTCTCCCTGCAGCAGAAAACTACCTTTTTGTCATTGATCTTTTCTTGAAGAACACAGGTGCTATGTTACCTGCCACATATTGAATGAGAACAGGGCATCTAACATGATTGTACAATGACTCCAATTAGTATCCAAATGACATCTGCAGTTTTATATGGCAAAGAAAAAAGAACTTGAGCTACTTTCTGCTGATTCTCTTGCCACACGGAGTACAAATTTTGGTCTAGTAGCATTAGTTTTTGTGATCTGCTGCCCTTGAATTTAATTGGGCTTAGAAGTGAACAGATACAGGGAACCTATTTTGAAAGGAGAAAGAGATTTAAATGAGTGTAACATTTTCCCAAAATTTTCATCAGCATCTACACAGACAAAAAAACAGTTTTATTTATTTAAAGAGGCCCTGTCATTAAATCCAAGAATCTGTTCTTCAGTTTGGAGAATAACCTTCAATCATTGCAGTGTTTTAAAAAGGAGTAGTTATGAATAGTTGAGGTATTTTGCAAAATATCATGAAAATCCTTACGGTTTTATCTTTAAAAAATGGTTTCTCATGTCTCCCTTAAACATCTTCCAGAAAATCACACTTGCAGGATCAGATTTGTAAAACTTCCTTAATATCTTGGTATGTTGTGTGGTATTCAGTTCCTGATCTTTGAAAAAAACTGATTTCCATTTTTGTTTCCATTTTGTGCAAAATAATTCAGTTTTCAAAAAACTTTGACTGACCAAGACTGTTTTAAATGAATGGCAACTGGACTTAAGAGGTTCTTCACTGTGAATAGTGAATACCAAGGCTGATGATCCTTCTCATAAACACTAGCAGAAAAAAAATTTGTTGCTTCCTGTGTATATAGGGGTTTTGCAAAAAGTATACAAATATACATGTACACATTTGCACCCAAAAAATGACAAGTTCATAGGCCATAGCGAGGACTGCTGTGACATTGTTTTTGCTAAAACTGTTAACTCAGTAACAGCACTGAAACTTGGATATTTTTCTTTAAAAACCACCTCTTTAACTGCGAAGATGCCATTAGTCACAGCAGGGAGCATAACCAGAAGGAGGATGTCTGTAACTATAGCAAGAGAGCACATTAAACTGTAGGTCAAAATCACGACTGACTGATTACCTTCAGGGTGAAAGTAAATCTTCAGACTTGCCGGAGTGAGAGGGAGCAGCACAGGCTGGGGCTTGCCAAGGTCATCGCTGCCTCCCCCAGCGCGGCGGGGCCGGCGGTGTCCGGCGCGCTCCCAGCAGACATTTGCTGACTCGCCTAACCTTCGTAGCCATGTGTGACGGGATGGAGTCACCGTCATCATCACAAAATGCCTCCTAATGGCCAGCTTCAATGTCTCATTAGTTTAAAGAGGTGATTCCTGGAAAAACCTAAAATAGAAAACAAATATTTTCCAAAAGTCCAAGTCCGTAATTGAATAATCTAAAACTTTCACAACAGACAGAATCTTTAAAGATGCTTTTTCTTCTCCTGCTTTCAGTGGAATAAACAGGAGAACTGTTTATTTTCACTCTGCAACAGCTTTTTTTTGTAAACCCGAAGACTACCAATCTTCACTATTCTCTAAGCCTGTGACTCAATCTCTAACTAACTATGGAATTTATATCCACCAGCAGTTCTGGTTTTCCACTTTTAGCTGATTTCCACCTGGCCCACTTCTTCACCAGGAGGTTTCTGTCTAACTTACAGTAATGCAGCCCAGCATTGCAATGGACTGAAGCTTTGCAATGAGGTCCTTCCATCCCTAGGAAACCTCCCTATAACTTGCCCAGGTCGCATCTGATCAGACTGATCTTTTGGCACAAGACAAAACATCTCCCTCTTACCAGTGCTTCCACTGAAGATAAGGATGAAATCTGTCATCTGGCTGTGCAAGGTTCAGGTAGGGAATCCAGTAAACTTTAGTGAATGGAGTTTACATACAGGACTGCGATTAATTAACCTGCTGTAAGAAAGTGTGGCACTTTAATCAGTGGGCATTCAGAACAAAATTACTGATATCTTTTAAATTCTTTTGCTTCTTCTGGTGGAATAAGATGAAAGATACTGGTGAAGAATTATGTCTGGCACATCATCACCTCTTGTGAATTATTCTCTGAGCATTCACTTTAGCCATGATATATTCCAGTGTTTTCAAGAGCTGCTGAGCACTTCTGGTACCTGAACTGAAAAGATATATTTCTCCAACAATGGTCTGTTTTGACTAGCACAAGGGTTTCATGCTCTGGACTGCATGCTCTTGTTTTTAGGCAGTTGCTCAGGGCAATTGTTTTCATAGACTGATGTATTCCTGCTTCTGAAAACTACCAGGTCTCCTGCTTGTCCTGTAAAAAATGTCATTGGACATCAACTTCAGTTGAT